ATGACCTCTACCCCTTCCTGTCCATCGCATCCTGCCTGCATGCTGCTCTAGTTTTGACCTAAAGAGAGTCCTCCCAGCATATGTCAGGCTCTAGTATAAGCTGTGTGTTAGCCAAAACCTGTGCAGGACTTGAGTGAGCAGTCACAAGGGGACCCTTTTATTCCTGTGGAGGCCAGATAAACACAACCATGTTTGGGTTGGGCTGCAGGTGACTTAAGGAAAATGTTGAGCCCAGACTGGATCCCCTTGTAGTGCACACACAGCCATGCAGTTGGTTTGCAATTGCTGACTGCCTCTCTATAGAAACCTCCCTTACCCAACCCTTCCGCCTTTCCCTTCCTCATGATTTTCCAGCCTTGCAGACATAACTTGCTCCTCAGACTAACCGTGGCCCTCAGCATAGGCTTATTGACCTATCTGCAAGAGGAGGTGAATATCTGTGCTGCCAGCCCACGTCTAGCTCTAGTGATGGCCAGGTCTGCCTTCTGCCACCACTGCCAGTCTCTCCTGACAATTCCCTGCATTAGGCAACACAGTTTTGAGACCTTCCTCTCTTACAGCTCCTCCCCCCTGCCTCAGCCTACCAGGAATCTCCTCCTTGCATCATTTTGGTTACGTTTTCCCTTTTAGCATGCAGTCCTTGTTTTCTTTCTTTAATATGCAACTCGGGCCTTTCAACTTTGGCTTTAAGCACTGAGTAAATCTCTCTCACCTGCATGTCAAAACCTGGCCTCTCAGGCACTGTTTTCCATTACAGGTGCTACTCCAATATACATTTCTCTAATGTACATATCACATCCCTACTTGGTACCAGCTATCATGACAGCTCCAATTACAGGACAATCCCTCTCCTTCCATCAACACTCACAGTACACTTGGACTTTCCTCTTTCATTATGGGGCTATTACTTTTGGTTTGAACAAGCTCAGACACTTTTCCCACCCCTCTGACCTGGTCATCTTTCTCCATTGCACCATCACTCAAGTTCAGAAGTTAGCACCAGCAGCCTCTATGTCCTCCTCAGGAAAAAACAAGGACAAACATGAAAGCAATATGCTGAGGAAAGGGCAATATCTAAGTCCCCAGTAGAAGAAAAGGGCAGGAGACCAGAGGTGTCACCTATTTGACAGAGCATTTATTGATTACTTTCAGTTCAAACCAATTATCACTGGTAGTACTGGTCACTAGGAAAGCCAATGCTCAGTCACATTCTGTGATTTTGTTCCACAAATAAGATGTTACCACTGCTTGTGAAAGGTCACAGCTTGGTGATAAACTAGCAGCACAGGCATCAGGACTTGTCAAGCTTTTTCCATGCTTTGTTTAGCTGTAAGAGCAATTATTTAATGACCTGATGTCTACTACTGACTTTGTTTTAGCTTTTGCTTTACTTTATCCAATTGCATGGTGAAATGTTTGTTGTTATATGTACTTTTTGTAACTAATAGATGGTAATAGCACGTAGTTATTCTCTGTAGAGTGAACTATTTATGACCCCAAAATAAAATGCAGCATAAAGGTGCACTAGCATGGGATGACAACAGGCACCCTGGCAGTACAGGTGTAAGATGATGCTGCAGGCCTCAGGCTGCGAATAGCTCACCAGTGGTTAATTCCTGGTCATCAAAGGGTGCAAGATTAGGGTAGGGTGGACAAATTTTAGATATAACAAAGGCAAGCAAACAATTACCCAGCACATGTAAAATGCCTCATGTATAGCAAATTTTGATCTATTGTGGAGTTGTCAACCAATGGAGAAAGACCATGTGGAATGTATTAGTAAGCATATAAAAATGACCTCTGGTGGATCATAGGGTGAGAAGAAAGAAATTTTCAACTGTGCTTATCCCAGCAAAGAGGAAGATATATTCTCTCTACTCATATCAGACTCTGCTTGGTGGAGGACCTGGGACACCGATAACTTGCTGCTACACATGTCCCCACCCCAGACTGAAGACATCAGAGGGGCAGTGTAATGGTGCATATAAAAGCAGAGAAAGGGGAGTATGTTAGAAAGTTTGTGTGTAGCAATTTTACCTGATATAATTTGGACTATAACTGTTAGTTGTAATATAAATACAAGAATATCATTCCATCCTAATAATCTCAGCAATTAATAATTATTTGATTAGACTATTTTAAACAAGACTAACAATATATCTTCCTAGGTCTGCCTGTAAGGTGTGTTTCCTTTTGATCATAACAAGATTTTTAATGTGACAAATTGATGGGAAATGAAGCAAACTGCTCCGTATCTTGGATATAACAAGTTGGCAGCAAATGAGGTGTGCTTTCAGGAGTGCACAGACTTTTTCTTGTACTTGGCTTCTCTGAGCTGATGGTGTGGGATCTGTGTGGGATCTGTGGAGGCAGGGGTTTGGTTCTGGACTTCTTCCTCCCCAGCCCATCTCTGAGATGTAGTGGTTGGGTTGAAGACACAAGTTCACCCCACTCAAAAGAGAACCTCAGCTGAAGTGTTTGAACTCCAACTCTTTTGGGGTTCAAAGATCCTGCAGATCTCGGGCTGCCAATCTGACCTTATTACTGATCGATTATTTCCTGTGCATACATATCACAGCACTCACTGCTTCTTCAGTCAGATTTTACCCATGATTCATGTGGCAGCCCATCCACAGGGTGATGAGTGGCTGAAATGCTAGAGGCTGTCCTCATTTTGTCCTTAGTTTTTTGTGAGCAAGTCTGTACAGAATGAGTCGGCTGTTGATGCCAAGTCCCGTTGACATCCCTGGCCTCTATTCTCAGTCATCACTTCTCTTTGCTTCAATATACTTCTCTATAAACTATCAATAAAAATACTTCCTGTCTCCTGGTGAACATCATTCAGCTTAACGACTGTTAGTAAAATGCCCTGAAATATTAGCTGAGAGAGGCACACTTCAGAAGTGGGATGTAGGTAAGGTTTCATTAGGAGCATACTGGCCACTTAATGGGCTCTGACATGTTAAAGCAATTTCCAGGGGAATCTGGGGATTCTCTTAGCTGGCACTGAGATGTGCTCCTGGAAACTGTCACCTTCTCCAATGCATTAAGTAGTCTGCTGTTAAAACAGAAAGAAAAACAAAAGTAATTAAACTGAGCCTGTAACTTTTTGTTGTTGTTCATTTAAATAGAGTTTTCTCCTTAGCACCAAAAAAGGGCACCTTTATTAGCATGGCTCGGAAGTGAAATATTTTAACTTTTACAGTTAGGATGCAGTAAGTGGTGCCTACAGTGCTACTATATAGAAATGATTGATTGATTTAAATACAGAACACAAAACATAAGTGCAAATAGATATGCTTTATTTTGACTTCTTACTACGCTGTAGTTATAGAAAGGAGGTTTCTATGCAAGAGCAAAAAATGGATAATTTTATTAGAAGATGTAGACTCTGGTAAGACTGCTTGATTACTTAACAGAGATTGACACCTTGCATTTCCACACACTGTTGTATCCCAGAGGACTTATATGACAGACTGACATTGCAGAGTTTCTAATGTGGTCGCATAAGCTGTACAAAATGAGTGCATGCCCATGCCTGAAGTGAAAGCCCCCAAAAGTCTGGTGTCCCTGGATCCAGGGGTACTCACTGACCATATGAGGTGGTACAAATATTTGCTTCGTTTCACACAGTTTAGCAAAAGAGCAGCTTGCATTTCTCCCTTCCCAGGACTTGCTTATTTTTAACAGCTGGTCATAAGTTTTGCAGGAGGCAATGGGTGGCAATAGGAGGAGTGGAAGGCAAGTCATCTCCCTTGCTTTCTCACTATTGAGACCACAAAATGACATGGCCATATACACTACAGTAAAGCCCCAGTGTTTAATGAGCATGAGGGTCTTTTTAACTTCTTTGGAAGCCCAGTTAGCTCACCTGTGCTCTTAGTATGGGACATGCTCTTACACACTGTGGTCAGTGGAAAGGAGCTGCTGCAGCTTGTGGCACATGTATCTTGGCCTCAATGAAAAAAAATCTTAAGAAAGATTTGAGGGGAGATGATAAATGAACACACAAACACACGCCCTAGCACAATGGGGTACATGGCTTAGGATGGAACTGTACCCTTCATGGAAGACTAATGGAAACCACAGCTTCTGGCCCAGAAGGTCCTCAGGGGAGGAGTGATGACTTGGGAGGCCCCACTGCACCCCACAGAGGAATATGCTGCAAGAAAGGCAGGATCCAGATCCAGCTTGTGGAGTTTCTGACTCTCAGGATATGTCTTTATTCCTTTTCCAGCTGAGCTTTTGTCCCTGTATATTCCTGGGATTGCTAATGTAACAGGACTTCATTCTGCAGTAGCTGTGATTGCCAGGAACTTTCAGGCATGGTTTAATCTAAACTCATCCCCAGGTGTTTAATTTAAAGTCATCCCTAGCTCCAGTGCAGAATATTTGCTAGGCTTATGGGGCTGGCAGAAGACCCTCAGGCTGCCCCCTCCATTCCTCTCTCCTTCACCCCATTTACCAGCTGTCAGAGCCTGTACTCCTCTGGGGCAGTGAACCTTCCCCCCCACACACGCGCACACATGTGGGAAATGGGGCTACAGGGTGGTTTCAGGAGAGAAGAAAAGGATGAAGAGAGAACACACCATACAAAAGAGATATGACAAGGAAATGCAAGTCTGATGTGATGAACTCTGAGCAGGGACATCAAAAAAACTCTGTATTTTCATCAAGCAGAGAGCAACGGTCTATCAAGAGCATATGGGGTTGGATGAGGGCATGAAATACAGAAGTGAGTATGTGTGGTGCTTGCACACATGAAAGAGTAGGAGAAAAAGCATAGGAAAGCAGCAAGAAGAAACAAGGATCTGGGAATATTCTGGAGTTAACACATCTTGAGAGATGCTTCCAGCAAAGTGAGCTTTCTGTGAACCAGAAAATTGTAACAGTGTAAGATAAAACAGTCCCTTTAGCTTGAAATACCTGTTTTTATTGCAGCCTGAATGATCTACCGCAGGGTTGTGTAATTCAGTCTAAGAATTTATAACACTGGGTTCTTTTTTTTTTTTTTTTTTTTCCTTTTTCAGTGAAGTATCAGGCCTTAATTAAAACTAAAGTTCAGACTACTTTGGTGAATGGAGCTTTTCAGATTCCCTTGCAGCACTAATGCAAAAGACCATAAATACAAGTGAACTATAGGAATAATATGGCCTAGAATTACCTTTAATTACTTGTATCTAATTTTAAATCATTCACGATCCAGGTGCTTTTTCATTCTCTCCCCATTCTTACCAATTAATTTTCTTTATCAAATCTTGTTCAGCCGAAGGATGACAAAAATAACAATAAGTGGATTTTGACCTCTTCTCTGCCCTCCTCCCCCCCCCCGATATTTTGAAATATAGCTAAATAAGAGATGAAGGCAGCATCTTGGTTCATGGTTTCTGAATCTGGACTCTCAGCTCACCATACACATGCCTCAAAGCATCACAATTCAGGCTTGCAATCAGCTTTCGTAACCCTGGTTGCTTTGGGATGCATTTTAATTCCCAGATCAAGGTAGAGTTTGCTGGGATTTGCCTGTAGGGAAAAAGGAAAGTAACAATATCGTGATTGGTCAGCCAGTCCTCTCAACCTTACCCACAACTGGAGAAACTGAAGGTGGACAGTATAACATGTCTCAAATTTTTATGCTTCACTTATTTTCATAAGTATCCTATAAATTATTCCCTCCATCACCTATTCCTCTCAGAATTGACTAATTCAAAGCCTTTTCTAGTCTTTCCTCCAGGCTAATTATAAATTTCCAAAATTAATCCACTTTATTCTGCCTCCTTTCACTTCCTCTCACTTTCACTTTCAGAATGATTTTCTTTACAGCTAACATATTTTTTTCTATGTTATAATTCCGTTTTACCTGTTTATTATAACCTATAGCCTGTTGGTGATTCCTTAAATAGTTAAATAAATCCTTGTTATGAAGTGTCCAGGGCATTCCCATGCAAACTCAACGCAGCATTGATGAGATGCTGAGACCCTTCACCAGCTTCTACCCTGAATCACACTGCCACCATTGTAACATCAGCAGACCTCCTCACTGGCCACTTCAGATGACTTCTTTGTGTCCATACAAGTAAGCCAAAGTGTTCTTGGGTGTCCTGCTGTTAGCAGTTACTCTTACACTACGTATGACTCTTGATAACTCATACTATAAGGCAACTGTATTCTGTGCTGTTCTTGATTTTCAGTTTTTGCTACAATCGAGATACATGGAGAGCCCCGAATATTGGGTTTCTGTGTTTTCTAAATGCTTTCACTATGTTCTGTGTGCAGATTCTGAAGGCTGATATTGATTGATTGATTGATTGATTGATTGATTATGTTTGGGGAATGTCAGGATACAGTTTCTCCAAAGGAACCAATGGAGAAGGCAACAGAGTGGGGAGCTATTTATAAAAACAAATGCTCTTTTCCTCAGCATTAAGAAAGAGGATTATGAATTTAGCCAGTGTTCTCATCTCACATGGTTGTGGTATTCTGCAAACAACTGAATAGAGTAAAAGTAAGCCTACATTTTAGTCACTGTTTCAGATTCTCATCTGGTAGGATTTGGTTCTCAGATGCCATGACCTATGCCAGGGTCAAGACAGAAATGAGTGCCCAGGCTTAGCACAAGTTGACATAAGAAAAGAAACCTTAATTAGCTCTAAATGACCTAGCCTGGGATCCTCCCACCTGAATATTTGTTTCAGTTCAAGTCTGGCCCTGCTAAAAAGAGTTATTCTAGCTCCTTAGAGGTTAGCTTAGGTGCCTCTACACGCCACTGCATTGTACTTTGCGTCATAGGTACCCTGGGGCGTGTACTCGGTTTTAGAAAAAAAAAAAAAAAAAAGCAGAGAAAGATCATATTTTTGGTATGAGCATGTGTAGACCACTTCCAGTGAGGGCTTTCCCTCTTGTTATCTTTGTTCTTAATGAGATGTATTCTGTCCCCTCAGCTGGCCTACTGGCTCCACAAAATGACCACTAAAATGGTAGCATGATAAAGTAATTACTTCAATTGCTGCACAAGGTTAATACCCTTTTAACTTAGAGTTTATGGGAATGATCTGCAAGGGATTATTTGTATGGAAAATAAAGAAGATACTATACAAGTCTTGCTGTGCAGCAAGGTTTGGTCTACTTTCTTGAGCACTTGGAGGCCAGATCCTCTAAGGAAAGGTTTCAGGGTTTCCAGACCACAACTTCATAGTGCCCCAGTGAGAGAGGGTGGCACTACCATGTCTGATTCATAGTGCTATCATCTCTGCATATATATACACACACTTTTTATTTATATCTATATATCTATATCTATCTGTGTGTATTCAGAAAGACAACAGCTGTGCTGGGAAACCAAACCCACCTTTTCTGGATTCCCTACTGTCCTACTTCTAAAACAACTTCTTTACAAATGCTAATGCTAGCTGAGCTTTGACATGAGGAAACACCTGAAGTGACTTACCTCCTAGTGTGAATACATGCTTGGATAAAATCCCTTTAACTCTATCCATCACTGCCTGATTAATTCTCATTTGTCATGCAAAGATTATGCCCCATGTAGGAACTGCTGCTGCCAAAGGCTTTTCCATAAGTCATGCTCCTCATCTGGCTGAGGCTAATAGTCAAATACCACTCTCTCTCTCTCTATATATATATATACATAGATATACACATACATATATATATACACATACATATATATATATATATATATATATATATATAAAAACTTTATGAGGGGTCAAGACTGAAGCCCCCAAGGCACTTCAGTCCCAGAATAATATTGTATCAGCTGGATCACACATACCTGGTTTGTGTAGTCACCCAGGTGATACAGAAAAGCTACCTTAAAAATACAGAGACGTCAAAACTCTCACCCCCAGAAATAATTGCAAAAGCCAGGTCCATCCCAAAAGACAGTTCCTGATGCACAGGGAAGCAGTGGAAGGATGGGGAAAGCCTAGAATAGGTTTAATTTTCTGCAAATGGAGTAAAGCCACCCTAATCTGATTTTCCTGGGAGAGAATTCGGTGATGAATGGTTCTACATAATATGCTGAGCCATCACCACACTGGAGCCATTTATCACTCTGAATGCTTGGAGGCAAATGTGATTATTATTTAAATAAACTACAACTGCCCCCTGCTCTGTCCTCTATGTGCATAACCTGCAGCCTTCATTCATCTCAGAAAAGTTAAATCTTAAAATGACTAAGCTGATCCGTTTCCATTTTAAATGATGTCAAGGGCACTACTGAAAAGGAGAAAACATGGTGTCTTGAAGGAAAAGGACATCTATTCTGTGAGTAATTTTTTACCCTAACTCCTGTGCCTTTGATGCACCTGACAATTTCTGCATCCTTGAAGGATGCAGTCCACAGCAGCTTTTGGATTGAGAAGGATGCAGAACAACAGAGGAGGATAGCACAGCTGGGCAGCAACGAGGACTCTTGCTGCAACTTGTGTAACTCATGTGAACTGTGCTGAGTCATGTTCAGCAGCGTCTGTGACATACCACGTGCACAAAGCAAGCACGGTATGATGCCCTTTCACAGTCATTTTTCTACCCAGCTCCACTCTGGAGACTGGTTTTGATCTTTTTATCCCTGGCCCAGGTGCAATCAGGCTCAGACCTCCCCTACTGACTGCAGATAATGCTGACAATTTATGCAGCTCCTGAAGCACAGGCAATTTTTCAAACTCCTTTTGCACACACCTGGGGACCATCAGTTCAGGTAATGATAGATAACATTGCTTTGGCTGCCCAAGACTAAGCAATGGCTCCAAAATTTTCCAAGGATCTCAGGCATATATCCTGGAACTAGTTAATGCTGAGCTTATAACTTTGAACTCAAATGGAAAGAAGGTTTAGGAAACAACTTGCTTAGCATACGAGTTTCACTGTGTCAGCATGAGGTGTAACTCTAAGGATAATGAAGGTGGCTTTTCTTTTCCTCAGGCTTGGGAGCACCCTGTGCTGGGAAGATGGCTCTGTGCCAGGGCAGCCCTGTGCAGTGGTGCTACCAAGCGGGAGAAGCTGTGTGCTTGTACACATGCTGCAGCAGGCTCTGCTGCATCCAACACACATTTCGTGTCTTGACATAACCTTCCAAAGATCATCTGAGGTACCTGAATGTCTTGTATAATCATGATTAGTGTGAGTGGAGAAAAGCCCTTTTTGAGAAACAGCACAGGATTTGATTTGCACATACTGAGCAAATGGCAGTAAACACTTCATGTGTAGGATAAATCTGTCTTTCTGTGATAGCAACTTGTAGGTGCTATTGTCAAACACTAAAAATAATGTAATACAGTGAAAAAGTAAAGTCAGGCTGCATTAGCAACTACCCACAACCACCACCCCTTCCTCCAACAGCGGTACTGAACAGATGAAATGCTCGCACAGTCTTTCTGCACAGTCTCTCTGGACAGCCTGACTTCTTCTGACTACTGAGACCTATAGCTCCCCTGTGTATTGAATTTTACAGTAAGAAGAGAGTGTCTGAACTGAATTACTCAGTGAAGCATTAGTTAAGTGTCTCTTCTGAGGTTCCTCCTGTGAGCAAGCACGGGATGAAATCCCAGCTAGTTGTGCTTTCTTCCATACCTGAACTCCTTTTTCATCGTTCTCAGCACACCAGGACCCTCAAGGCGGAGCGTGACATTCTCCAGGGTTTGTTTCAGAGGATTGGTGAATTCCACAGTCACAGACATTTCTTTTCCAGCTACCATCTCACCCTGGGTCTGCAAGACAAGGAGAGGACAGTGCTCTGCAAGCTGATAATAATAAAATGCCCCATGTGAAATCTGTAGGGTTTAATACACAGTACTTGTAAGGAAGGAGGGAGGGGGAATGGAGCACACGGCAAAACAGCTTGAGGTAGAGAAAGTATAGTCAGAAGAAAACTGTTGGATGGGTCCGTAAGTACCACTGTAGATTATTTTACCCATTGCACTTTTCCCTCAATCCACATGGCAGATCAAGAGGCAGGTCCTCATTTCCATAGAAAAAACCAGAAAACTGCATGCACAGCCCTGGAGCTGAGTGTCCAGCTGAGGGGGCCTCTCTCCCAGATTCACTCCCACTCTCCAACAGTACTGAAGTACATGACCTGCTCAGGACGTAAACTCCAGAAGAGAAGGGCAGGTCTTATTGCCTTAAATTAGAAATGCCAGGTCACACTGCTTGCACCTCCTAAAAGTGTTGTGCCCATCTCCCCCTGCCATGCAACTGCCTCTTGTGCCCTGAAGGGTTTCTAACCCTGCCCACGCGCTGCTCTTCGTAGACCTGAGAGCCAATTGTCCTTCAAAATCCTTACAAAGAAAAAAGCAATACATGGAAAATATTAAACTGCAAGACTAATGAATAGTAATCACATTGAATTCCATGTGTATTGCAGTACACAGCTGAAGGGATCTGTCTGTCCCTTCAGATCAGTGCCGGTACAGCTGTCTGGAAAACACCTCCAAATGAACGTGTTTTTAAAGAAAGACTACATGCATAGGGATTTTGTTGCATTTTTTTTTGTTGGGCTTTTTTCTTTTTTTTTTTTTGCCCCCTAGAAACATAAAATTTCTTGCAGAATATAAAAGGCTTAGGCAAGGTTTTTCAACTTACAGCTGGCAGATCCCAGATGGTCCATGGACTACTTAAAGGGCCTTGAAAAAGGTAACTAAGAAAAACAAGTATCTTGTCAATTAATTTACAGTGCTATGCTGGGATCCGCAGCCCTACTGCAAATTTTTAAGGACTATGACAGTTGCAAAAAAGCTGGAAAGATTCTGGTCTAAGGGATCACTCTGCAGCAAATATTGATACACTGCAGTAAAGAACAAGATACAGCTAAGGTCTTAACAGCATTTGGCCACCTGACTTTGCAAAAAGACATTAGTGGCATTTCCAGAAGCCCTAGCCCAGTTAAAGGTCTTATGCCCTCCTTATTTCAACTGCCCATTTAAGAACACTGGGGGGATTCAAAATCATCCTGAACTCCCACACATGCAACTGAGACCATGATCTGTATTTGCTGAACTTATTTTTGTAACCTAGTCTCAAGCTAAATTAGAATAAGGTGTCATTTCTTACACTGTTAACTCTGATAATCTCCTTAGACCAATGCAGAAAGATCAAAGGTTTATCTGAAGGCAGAGGGGGAAATACATTTTTTTTCATTCTCCCTTACTCTCACATTAAGACCTACAGCCTGCCAGTCAAATTCAATGAAGAAATCTAACAAGAAATCTAGGGAGATAAGCTTAATCAGATTTCTTAAAAAAACAATAAAGCAAAGTTTCCTATATAAATACACAGGTATATACACATGTGCACACACACACTTTTAAAAAAATCCAGCTATTACAATTTCAGTTTATTTTTACACATCACAAAGAAAATTAGAAGAAACAAATTCAGTTTTACTAGAAGACATGGTTATTGGACAATGGACCTATCTCATATCCTAAACATCCATTCCTCATAACAGCAGGGAGGCTAAACTATTTTGAAGCTCAAAACTGGGATCCTATACAAGATGTTTGCTTTAAGTACTGAATTGAAAGAACTCTCTACTTTCAAACTTCGGTTATTGAAGAAAGGTATTTGAAGTAGATTTTATTTGTCTTGTTTACCTCCTCTCCAGAATGCTCACTAAACCAAAAAAATTTTATTTGAAAATACCTATAATCTGATCAGATCATAGCAACATTTCTGCAGCCCATGAAATATTTTGCAAACTTCACTGTAGTTTTGATCTACATTTTTTTAAAAGTTTTTTTCTGCAGAAGGCTACTGTTTCAGATTACTACATTTATTATTATATGGAAACATGAACATTGGTTCAAATAAATATGCAGGGGGCGAAAAGGTCCAAAACCATGTATTTCTTTCAAGGTCCTGAATTTTAGGGAGCTGCATTCATGTTTATGTAAAGTTTACTGAACAGGTGTTCTGATTTTTTTTTTAGTATTGGGGAAAAAAACAGATCCAAATGACACCATTCAAAGCAGATGAAGGCTCAGCGCTTTTGAAAATGAGGCAATTTATTTAGATGCCCAGTTATGAATTGAGAACTCTCAATCTCAGCCATGCCTTTGCAGTATGACATAGAGTCCTTCTCCTGCCACAAACATTACACTTCTACATTTTCATGGGTACCATGCCACCACCTGCAGAAATGCTTGAACTTTCAGGACAGTCGACTGACAGTACATTCACAGAGTGGCAGTAAAGCACTGAAATCCTCAAACCATGGTCCCAAACTGACGCGTCCCATTCAAGTTTGGAGGAACTTTCCTTAACACCTGCAGGAGCTTTCCAAGCCATTTCACCTCAACAACAGTGTCCCTCATTCTTCAGCAAGAGGCCTCTGTGCTCTGTTGCTTTAAATACAACAGATTTTTGAACTAGTTAAAGACTTGAGTGACTTGGGTGACTTGAGTGAGTAACTTCTATTATCCTTTCAGTCTCTCCAGCTTTATCAGACCTTTTCCACTCCTTCCTCTACTGAGATCACTTCAGCTCTCTATCGGTGATGCTGTCAGTCTTAGTCTTTAATGTAGGGATACTCAGTACAATATATAACATACCTTGTACAGCTAGCCACTGCTTTATAAGGTCTATGTTAGACTGAAGGTCGAATGTGCACACACGCACAGGTACACCCCCCATCCCAGAAATCAACCTGCCAACCATGTAGAGAACAGCCCGTGAGCATCATGATGGTCGCTCCCCTCTACCCCAGACCTGAGCTACCTTGATCCTCAGGGTGGGAATTTCCAGGACTGTTGCCTTCTGCGTGGCCAGAATCTTCCCCGTTTCATTGATCCGTGCCGTCACAAAGAAATGAAAGGAAGCTTGGTCCAGCAGGTCACTCAGGTACTCACTCGATTTGATCACAACATCAAAAGAGCTGGCTAAGGGGAGAAATGATAAAGAAAAAAGGCATATGAAGCAATCTAATGGCTAATTTCTCCTCCCACCATGGCCAGTGACAGTTACACAAGTGCCTTGACCCACCACCAAAGAATAACTTTGACTTTTTTTGTCCAAACTACCTTAATTTCTTTGCCTCACCATTCCCCCTCTTATCTCACCTTCCTTCCCTTTAGGTTGCGAGCTTCCTAGAACAAGAGCTTGGTTTGTGCACAGCTTCTGCCCAGTGCCTGTCACCACATGCCCAGGTCACTGTCAAAGGTTTCTAGGCACCACCTCACAGTAAGTAAGAAGCAAGACTGGCAATAAATAGCTACTGGGCACGAAGATCCAAATTAGCTTTTGAATGTCACCCTTATAGATGTTTGCTCTTTCACTTTATTCTTGTGCTTTCTCTGCTTCTCTTCCTGGCAGAGGGATGCCAGCAGGGATGCTCCCAGAGCAGCCACTGTGGGGTGTGAGCCCATGTAAGCTATCTGGAAGACCATCTGCTCTCCAGGACATGTCTGGATATCTGCTTTTGTCCTACACTGGACTTGTGTGCAAAATTTAGCAAGAAAGTCCTCCTGTCACCATCATGCCCTCTAGAGAGCTTTCACATTCTCCCTGACAATAATTATTGGAAGGAACAAGTCCCCCTAGGCTAGACAGTTGAGATGCAGGGAATCATTAATCTTAACCATATTGAACTACAATTCCCAGGCCAACAGTAGTGTGAGAATGTGATGCAGAGAAGCAGACCTGCTAACTAAGTGACCAGGCAGAATATATAGACATGGAGCACTTGCGTCTATAAACATTCTTTATAACCCTATATATATATATATATACACCAAGATCTCTCATCTGTTAACTATGATTATTACTGTTATCCATTATTTGTATTGTATTTGTGACATACACTGTACACACTCAGTGTGTAATTGAACTCAGTTGGGTAAACGACATTCACCCCTTTTCACTCTTTTGATCCGCTCACATCAAAACCAATTGCTTGATTTGGTTTCAAAGCTATTCCCTTGGTGACCAGCTGACCTGGATTTACCAGGCCAGCCTTAGGTGCTCCTCCTCCCTCCCTCTCTCTCTCCCTCTCACTCTGTATCTCTTGTAAAAGGATTTCCTATAATGTTCCAAACTCTAAATTATAAATAAGTCAAGATATTTCTCATCTGTGTAAAGTAAGTCAATAAATAAATAAGTTAGTTACAACTGAAGATAAATTTACAGTGTCAAGAAAGATGAACACAGGAAAAGAAAAAAAAAATAATAATAGGCTTCATATTCCTTAACATTGGCTGTGCTGGTAAGTTGCCAGTGCCACTTACTGCACTTGGGAAAGCCAAGGGAAACCCAAAACCAAGCTGCCTTACAGCCTTTCAAAAAAACAGAGAGAACTAAATATAACTGAGTAGATGAGAGAGCACCTTTGAAGGCACTAGAAAGTTTAAACTATTAAAAACCTCAAAGATGTTTTCATCCCACACAAATACTTTAATAATTATTTTGAAAATCATGCATTCATTTCCTTTTTGAAAACTTAGTTTGCTTCACTCTTTCAGCCACATGGGCTGGAAGAATGTCTTTGACACATCTTTATTGTATTGAAAGTTCTGTTACTTCCAGATATATATACACACTTGCCATGAACGAAGTCTACAAATTCTTCTTGAGTTCCTCAGAAGGTATTTTTCCATCACACCCCTGACAAAGTTGTAGATGATCACCATGTCTCACTTCACACTGGTCATCTGCTCAGACATCATTCCTGATTGCATGTGTACTTTTTTCCAAGGCAAAGGCAAAAGAATTCACACCCAAATTTTATGTATCACCTTCAGAGATGGCGTAACTCGTGAGGGGTTTTTGTCTTGTTGTGGAACAAAGTGCTCCACAAGTTGATAACTGTAGCTCAGATATAGGCTAATTTCCACCTTGTAGGGTGGTAACACCTTAAAACTTGTCTCCTTGGCCAGAAGCAGTAATGGGGACATGCTTTTGGTACACATACAAAAAAATCCATGTTCAGTTTTCTCAGGTGCCTCTCTCTCTAGTCTGTGTTCACTCACCATCAGTCAATTCAGAATTTTCAGCACAGTTTCAAGAAGCTTTTTACAAACCATTTACTTAAATTAGAAAAAATGGATTATGAGGGTCAGTGATGCTTAAACTGCTATTAATTTCATTTCTTGCACAGAGGAACTAGATGAGCCTCAACTCACTGCAGAAGTTGTGTTTCAGGTAATAATACCTTACACAGACCTTTGATGCAAGAGCAGACCTACGTCCTGGAGACAAGCACAAATCACAGCCAGAAAGGGTAGCAGGTATTTGCACATCTCCTACAAGATGACTGGATTTTTCCCTGTTAAAGCGGCACAGAATTTAGACCAAGCAGTTAAAATTGATTTTTCTTTTACTGTACCTAGCCAAGTCTCCAAAAGTTTTGCAGTATTTCAGATTAAATATTTAGTAACTGATGCAAGCCACTGTAACCCCCACATTGTGTTTTGACAGGCTGTGTTGAAACAACCCAATGCCCATTTCCAGACTTCCTGCAAAAGAGTCAAGGAGTTAGAAAGAGCCAGCAAGCAGGTCTCAGGGCTTTTTTTATAGACTGGAAGTAGAATTTTTATTAACCTTCAACTGTAGATCCCTATAAGTTAACTCCTACTTTATGGCAATTAATCAGCTCCAAATAAAAATGTGCAGTTTTAGATAATGCTTAAAGTGAGAAGAAAGCAGAGGATTTTTCTTTTTTTCTTTTTTTTTTTTTTTTTTCTTTTTTTCACAGCATGTTGGGAAAAAAGCTAGCAGGTTTGAAATCAACTATGCAAGTCTTACATGAAGAGGGTTCCAGTTTTGCACTGAAAGAGTCTTTCTTGAATTCATTTTTTGTGACTCCAGTATAAAACACTATGTTGCCTGAAAGGTAGGTAGTAGCAGTGTAGTAGTTGTGACTTTTGTTCCTGAAAGTTATAGTGACTTTAAAGTCACTGCCAAGGACTGCCTTTTGCACTTGGAAGTCCATGTCAACATCCGTCTGTGGCTGATACATGGTGTCTTGTGCACTTTGTTTTTTAATGCCATACATCACAGCAGTCTCAAGAGCCAGTCTCTCCTCCTCTGAGCCTAGAAATGAATGGAAATCAAATTTAGGAAATAAACAGGGGTACTGCATTAGCCCACTCACTGATCACAAGGGTGCATTTTCCAAAGTTTGTGGTAGCTGAAATGAATAGATGAGGACAGTGAACCTTGCTGTGGTAAACTTAATATTAGGAGAACTTCACAACTTCTAAGTCAGCTCATGTTAAAGATTCAAGTCATATCAGACAAATTGATGTAGCTTAATTGATATTAATGGGGCTACACTGATTTACTCTGTGCAAATAGCTGGCTTGAGTAAGAAATGTCTAAACATTGGTACAGAAAGCCTTGAATTGTTTTGAATGCTTTGAGTTACTCCATGATTACCCTTTGTTTTCACTACAGCTTACCCAGCCTAAAGCATTTCTGAGTAGCAAAGCCTGTGTGCTCATCAAGGCATCTGCAGTGGGATGGAGTTACAAATAGAGTTCCAGAGGGCACCTTGGCAGCTTTTCATGAAGCTTCCTCAGTGCCAGAGGTTTGTAAATCCACCATTCAAGATCTGACTGAGGTAAATCTACATCAGTATGGTCCCACCCCATTTCAGGTTACCTTCTTGGAACTTGTACTCCTCAGTAATCTCCATCATTCCATCACCCCCAACTTCCTTGGTCACAATCAACTGCCCAACATGGGTTGTGTCAATTTTTTCTATCACTTGGGTTCCGTTTTTCTCCCTTCTTGAGTAAACAATATCACTATTCACCTATAAAATTAAATGAAAAAGGATTTAGAAACATGGAAGTAGAAAGAGCAAGGGAAGCCAGCCTATCTTCCCTCAAAAACAGTGACATGTAGACTTGAAGTCCCACTAATTACTCACATTGAAGTCCCATGTTTAAAATTAGTTATATGCTACAATAAGGACTAGATGCATTTTACTATTTGCAGCTCCAGAATGACAGACAATGTAAGCTTGAGTAGGCTAACAGAGATACTGTTAGGACTTGGGAAGCAAGTCTACATATTCCTTGCAACAAAAAGCTTTAGAGAGAGGAATGCTTCATAGATAAAATATTCTCTTCTGTCCTAAGCTAGATACAATTCAATTAGAGAGAGACCTGCTCTACAGCTGCTGCAATTCTGGGCACACAAGCTCTGGTGGTGCAAGAGGTTAAAACTCTTGACCAGGCCCTCTTGCTCCTCATGGAGACATTTCCCTCTTAGATATGCCAGTCAAACCACTGATGTGAGCTCTCCTTGAACCACTGCAGACAAAAGGAACATGGTGAGCAAAGACTTTTTTAAAATCACTGCATCTGTTTTGATTGAAATAAGCAAGGGAGCCTTAACATAAGCAACATTGCTGGCAAGCCTGAGAAGGAAGTAACAGCTAACAAGGGATGAAGATGAGCAGCTAGAGCTAGTGACTCATTTGCCAGCATAGCTGGAATCTGGGAAGGATAAATGACCACAGGCTGAAGTTTCATTTGAGCCAGAGTAGCTTTTTCTGCTTATTACATTGGTGAGCAGAGATTAGAGAAATCTCTGTCATTCATTAGAGTCATATCACACCTACTGGCCTGCATGTCAAAATATAATTATGAGATTTTTCTCTGATGTGGACTATATGTGAAGTTCTCAATCCATAAATTGCAGTTGGAGCCTTATGTTCTGTCTCACCTACGTCCCCACTGATGTCACTCAAAGCACTAAAAGTATTCAGGTATGTACCTCAGCATAGACAAAAGGAGCATCAAATTGGAAGCAAACATGACCATGTTTAATGGCTTGAACTGAGGCTGGGCCACACCTGTACATACCTATGGGGAGAAGAGAAATTAAGTGAAAGATTAATTTAATTTAAAAACATGTCAAAATGTTATATTTTCTCAAAGAAAAAGGGTTCCTGGTGTTTAGTGAACTCTTTTAATAGTTTACAGGAATTCCTGACCAAGAAGTGCAAAGCTTAATTTCGTTACCAGCCCTCTAAACAACACAGACTCAAGTCTGAAACAACATAATGCTTTGGTACCTTAATGGCACCGTAAAGAACACTGTAAGTCTCAAGTGCTTGAAACACAGTTACAGCTGTTTTGGTTAAAGCACATAATTTTGGGAGGGCTCAGTTATACCACAGACTGAGAAAGCTCTCACTGCAAATTTGCTAAAGATGTCTTTAAAGAACTGGAAAATTAAGGACTGGGATGAAACAGCAGTGGCTTTTCACTTTTCCTCTCCTACCTATTGCCTGCTCAGGAAGTTTAGTAAGGGCTGCAGACATAAAATGAAGGATTCATTTGATCAGGCTCCTGTATAGGTTCTCTAAAATTTTAGAAGCCATCTTTCAGCAACAGGACTACTTCTACTCTGTTCAAAGCAGGGCCCTTCTCATGCACGATTTTGTGCACATGCATCATAAACAGTGTTATAATAAGAACAGGTTTATTTTAGAGCTCATAACAAATCAGGAGAAGGCCCTGAGCATGGGTGAATGCGGTTACCTGTTGCAAGAAGTTGTCACTGGCCATATGGTGCCATTGGCTCAGCTATCATCAGCTCATTGCTTGCCACAAAGAACCCAAGTGTTGGAAAGAGAGCTAAGGAGGACTTAAAGTGATATTACCATCACTGGTTTCTTGGGGTGTCCCATCAACAACCTGCCATCCTCCAAAACCAACAGGAAGATCAGGTCTGGTCATCCAAGCTTCATTCCAGCAATGATAGTTCCTTAGGCAAGAGACAGGACCAGAATATTAAATTCTTGGAAAGAAGCATACAGACCAAAATAAACTTGTGTAGTTACGTCCTGCCATTGCTTCAATAACATTTGCCAATTTAGGAATGAAAAAGTTGGCTCTTTCTAGAGAATAGATTTTTAGGTCTAAAAGTCTGGTAACTATCTGTTAAAACCTGAAGGCCACAATCCTTCATTGTACTTTCTTGACTGCAAGCTGAAGAAGCTTTTTGATTCTTCTAATGTGTTCTGAATGCAAATGTCTCAGAAAAGATGCCAGTGCTTGGAGATTGTTGGGTTATATGAAGAGCTACACAAACTATGATCCCTTTCCAGCCAGAAACCTCCACTTTAGTCTGCCTGCTAAAGCAAGCTTTGAATCTTCTTCAAGTCATTGAAGCATGGTCTGCTTTATAACTATTAAGACTGAAGCTTTGGCACCTCTTCTGAAGAGATTTCAGGATCAACTTCTGTCATGATTTAAGCCCAGCTGGCAACTAAGCATCATGTGGCTGCTTGCTCACTCCTCCCTCCAGGTGGGGTAGGGAGGAGAATTGGAAGAAAAAGGTAAAAACTCATGGGTTGAGATAAGGACAGTTTAGTAGGACAACACAAGAAGAGAAGAAACAATAATAACAGTAATACTAATAAAAGAGTATATAAAGCAAGCGATGCACAATGCAATTGTTCACCACACAGAAACTGATGTTCAGCATGTTCACAAGTTGCAATTCCTTCTCCCCCAGCCATCTCCCCCAGCTTATATACTAAGCATGATGTCATATGGTATCAAATACCCCCTTGACTAGTTTGGGTCAGCTATCCTGGCTGTGTCCCCTCCCAGCTTCTTGTGAAAATTAACTCTATCCCAGCCGAACCCAGAACAATTCCATAACATACAGTGTGTAGCTCTGTTTTCATGGCTCAAAACAAATGTGCTTAGCTGGTTACCATGTTGGATGAGAAAAAGACTCTGCATAGGCCTTATGACTATACTCACTGTGGAATCCTTATAAGGTCTTCCCAGTGTGTCACGCCAATGAGGGATGTCAGATCTCCTAGACCATACAGTTTTCCCTAAAAATATCTACAACCACTGTGGGCCAAGTTTAGCCTTTAGGGCCCAGGACAGTATGCTGAAAGGTGAATTTCTGAGAGTGGTTCATCTAGGCACTCAGGGTTGAAATACCCTCACTTGGATGGATGCTCATGTAAAGAAAAAACACTACAGCACCATCAGAGTCTGTCCAGAATGTTTCAAAGATGAGCAGAAAAGAAAGACAGATCTTGTAACTTCCTGCAATGCTACTGATGCTGAAGGGAGAGCACAACAAGAAAAAAACACAATCTAGGGAGAGGTCCTTGCAGTAAAGCTGATGAAGTGTTTGAATTTCATTACTGCAAAAAATAAAAGAAGAAAGGAGGAGAGAAAGGGGCAATTTTGCTTGCAAATTATACATATCCTACAGCAGATATGTATAAAATTACATCTGTGTAGCTGCTGATACAGCCCCTAGTACATGCAATGATATTAGCAACCAAAATGAGGATTGTTAAACTCCAACCATTTCATTAATAATAGGTGAAAACTAGCCACGGAGCAGAGTCGGAAGGATCTGAGGCTTGTCTAACAAGACATTTCAAAGTGGAATTGAAAGCTTGGATCGGGGTAAAACTTGTCAGTTAGGAGAGTTAATGAAGCAGCACTACAGAAAAAGGAATTATTCAAGAAAAATGACGCACACTCAGAGAATGTTTGATGCTGCTGAGTAGTCAGTGCTGAATCATGCTCGCAGAGCTTTGCTGAGGGCTACCAGAGAATGGAGACGTACTTTGTGGTAGGAAGTTTTTCGAAAACTGTTATGCCAACATGTGAGAGAGACAATCCCTGCCCTGAAGCCTTCACTGGTTCACTTTGAATCAAACTCAGATGTGTCATGGGCTTTGTGTTCTGCAAAAGAACCACCTGAAAAGCAGGCAGGAGGGAAGGATGATAAAACCAAGGAGGGGGTATAACAGTGTGGAAAATGGCAGCTCTGCTTCAGTTCTGAATTAGTTTTTTTTTTTTTTTTTTTTTTTTCTATATTCATCCTAGAGGACAGGACCTTTCTTACTGGCTTTTATTGGTGCAGTGTTGGGTGAAACAGGACAGCAATTTCTTTACGTCTGCTGCCATGCAAATAGCAAATACACTTCAGGATATGCAGTGTGAATGGACAGAAAGACATTGCTTGTAACACACATGAGCATTAAGGAAAGGATGATGAAGGAAACATTTGTCTCTCCAAAAAGTAGCAGAAACTTCTGTCTCATAGAAGTGAGCACAACTGAGGAGCTGGCTCCACAGCCATAATTTGTTAAACTGATTCTGTAGTTCTTGTATTCTACAACAAGCCTGAGACATTAAAGAAAGCAAGAATGGCTATACAGATCAATGTAGTGACCATTAAATATTTACAGAGATAATTACGAATAGACTAAACAAAGCAATGGGGAAATTAATAAAAGATGATCAGGTGGGTTTTATGCCTGGAAGACAATTTAAGAAGGGTACTTCGTATTGCTTATGAGACAGGCACATGCTGGAAACAGCTGCTGCCCTTTCCTTAGCTAATAAGCTCAGGCATTGGGGTTGAGAGAGGCACTGATAACATTATTGAGAAATTAGGGAAAAGTGAGCTGGAAGTGAATGGGAGAGCAGAGGTCTCAGAAGGGCTTTCTTCACAGGCCTGGACATAGATGAACCCTCATAGAGCTAGGTGACTTCAAGCAAGTTTCTGCTGAGGTACTGACGTCGATCGGCTTGGACTTCACAGTAGGAGTGAGTCTTGATTCGCATCCAAGAGAAATATCCTTTAAGTGTCTTTATATCATCATTAAGAAAGACAAGGAGAACAAAATAAGGGGACAGAGGCAGTGCTGATGGGCCCAAATCCGGCCAGATTTATAAAAATAACTTTTTGCAAAGTCTGTGTAATTTTGTATATGTGTTTTGTTGTTATCATTGTTTCCTATCCTGAGGGAGAAGATGATCTTTAATAAAAATAAATAAATGTCAGAAAACATTCAGAGGGAGCCCCACACTGAGAGATTGATTGGACTAAAAATCCTGGCTCCAAGTATCCCTGAAGTCTGAGAGTATTTTAAACCTGAAGACAGACCAGGTCCAGCAGTACAAGGCAATAGAAATGATATATTAATAAAGAGCTTTGCCTCCAGTTTTCAGGAGATTATAAATAAAATGATAAATACATTTTAAAAAATCATTATAAATACCTTGAGCTTGTCCTCTTAAAAAAAAAATAAAAGAAATAAAAGAGGCATTAAAAATAAAATCAAGGTTAAGGCACAAGCCATTTAAAGTCGGCATGTGGGCTACTATGGAGTGTTACAGAATAATGAAGAGAAAGGACACAGAGGAGAAATGAAAAGAGGTGTGTAATATATTAAGTCATGCCCAAAGGGTTATGCGTACCATGTACTAATAAATGCACCAGGAGGATAAAAGGATGAACAAGGCAGTTTCAAAAGTAATCAAGCCAAAGAAAAGCAAATGTAGGATGGGAGGATGAAATGCTAGTGTGAAGTTGTATATGGATTTAAGTGGAGCGAGGATAATTTTGGATGATCTGTCCCTGTCCCAAAAGAATGGAAAACAACAGGACTGAATTAAGAAGTCTTGGGAAACAGCTAGGAAAAGGAGAGGTAGGGAAGTAAAATGAAATGTCAAAAGTGGGTGAGAGATGTTTTATAGATCAGATTAGGAGAAGGGGAGAGGAAGACATGAGACAGTGAAAAGTCTGAGGCATGGCAACAATCCATTACTGCATGTATATGGACTGAACAGTGAGGTGGATAGTCATTTGGTCTTGTTTCACATCATTTATAAACAGAGGAGGTTTCAGAAAAGTGACTGTTTCTCTACAGCTCTGTGAGCCATAGAAGGACCAGCCCCATGAGATGTACTGAGGTCCTGCTGTCACATAGACCCGATGCAGCTTAGCAAACTGTCAGCCCTCAAGGATCCTAACAGGAGGGAACAAGGCAAACAGGAGGACCACAACCCTGGACTTCAGGACAGCAGGCTTTGGCCCGATTAGGGTCTTGGCTGGAATAATCCCATGGAAGGCAATTCTAGATAGAATATGGGTCCAGGAGAGCTGGTTGCTTTTCAAGGGTTACCTCCTCCAATCTTAAGAATGATCCATCCCTGTGTACAGGAAATCCAAAAGTGGCACAAGGCCCACATGGTGAACAAAGTGGTTCCCGTTAAATTCAAACATTAAAAAAAGTGTGCACAGGATGTGGAAGCAGGGACAGTTGACCAGGAGGAATATAGAGACCCTGTCTGAGCATGCAGTGACAGGTTTAGGAAAGGCAAACCCCAGCTCAAACGAAGTATGTCAATGGATGTGAAGAGCAGTAAGAAAGGCAAGCACATCAGTATCAAAAAGACGACTGTGGAAAATGTGAATTGCCTGCTGAATGGGGCAGAGGACCTGGTGACAAAGGACTAGGAAAGGCCAAAGTATTCAATGTCATCTTTGCCTCGGGTTTTACTGCTAAGATTTGCCCTCAGGAATCACAGCCCCTGAGACCAGTGTGGTAGTTCGGAGTAACGAAAATTTACCATCTGTAAAGGAGGAACAAGTTTGAGAATATTTAAACAAGCTGAACACATAGAAGTCCAGTGGATCTGATGGGATGGACCCAAAAGTGCTGAGTGAGCTAGCTGATGTCATTGTAAGACCACTCATATCTATCTTCAAAAGGTCATGGTGATTGGAGGGGGTTCCTGAGGACTGGAATAAAACAAATATCACTCCTTTTGTAGAATCATGGAGTTCTTTATGTTGGAAAAGACCTTTAAGATCTTCATGTCCAACTATTAACCTACCACTGCCAAGTTTACAACTAAACTATGACCCTAAGTGCCACACCTACATGCCTTTTAAATACCTCCAAGGATTTAAATACGTCAGCCACTTCCCTG